TTTTATGTTGGTGTTGCGTCTTTTCGAACACCTGCCAGGCATAATTCTACTCACCACCTCAGAGGGATAAGCTGTATGCCTAGTCCAGGAGTGTAGCTAAGGCAGGCTCTACATGATGATATGTAAGAGTGGTTATTTTCTTCCAGAGTGATTAAAGCCTTCTTGCCCACACCCTGTGCATGCTTCTCTTCTCTGATGGAGAAATCGAAGCTGGAAGATAGAGATCAGATTTTTTTGTCAGCCGGAAATGAGGCTGGGCCTGGATGCAGTGTAGCATTTATAATAACAGGAAGCAGAAAAAGATTTGTTTTTCCAAGGAATTCTCCCTTTTATGTCATCTATTTACCCCACCTGTCAGACTCCACATCCCCAATGAAAGGTAATATGAGTTGAAGGAAGGGACAGATGTTGTTGAGGTAAAAGCAATTGAGAGCAATACCACTGCATCCCCATTGCCAGCTGGGCTGAATCTCACAGTACGTTAAACAGGAATTGAGTGGGACCAGCTAGCCGTGCATCTGTTTTCGGGGGTGATATTTAGTGGTGCAAACTTTGCTTCTGTCAGTGGTTTCTCTGCACTGATACACTGTTAGATATGAGGTTTTGGCATGCAAATCCTTCCTCACCGTGACCTGTGTGGGAAATATTGTGTACAGAATGCTAATGATTTCCCACCTAATACAGAAGCCAATCTCTCCCTCCCCTCGAAGGTGTCTCGCTAATGAATTCTCTCTCAGATGAGCTGCTGACAGTCTAGCAAATGTGTTTTGGGGGAGAGAGGAAGTTAAATGCAATGAGAGATTTCTTAACTACATGCAGCTGGATAGCAAAGTTTATCATCAAAATAAGATGTCTGTTTAGCCTCACTCTGCTGTCCATTTACAGAAGCAGACAATCAGAAATAGGATAGTTGAGGAGGCTTTCTGTTTTGCAAACATTTGTGGCCAGATCCCAGTCTTGCAAACCCAAAGGACTCATGATAGAAATGTAGCCGTGTTAGTCTGGGGTAGCTGAAGCAAAATGCAGGACAATGTAGCACTTTAAAGACTAAGAAGATGGTTTATTAGATGATGAACTTTCGTGGGCCAGACCCACTTCCTCAGATCAAATAGTGGACTCAGTTGTGCCTGGTGCTTGCATACATTGTGCAGTGGAAAGGAAACGTGGGGCTTTCCTCCACCTTCTTGCCTGCAGTGCATAGGTCAGCCCCAACCACAGTCCTTCCTAGCATTGTGCAGCTCTGCATGGGCTGGTTTCCTATTGGACATAATTTGGCTCAAAGCAAGGGTAGAATTGTCAGGCTTCCAATTTACAACCAGAACGCCCAGTCTAAAAAGGGACTCTGGTGGCTCCAGTCATCATCACTGGCCCAGCCGTTAAAAGTGTGGTTAACAGTGCAGCGGGGCTCGCTCCCTGGCTCTGTGCAGATCTCAGAAATGGCCATCATGTCCCTAGGGCCTCTAGGCACAGGGGTGGCCAGGGCGACCCCATATGCAGCTCCCATTGGAGAGGACCATGGCCAGTGGGAGCTGTGGGTGTGGTGTCTGCAGGTGGGGCAGTGCACAGAGCCTCCCAGGTCACCCCTGCTTGCAGGACAAAGGTGGGCAAAATCTAACCCACCAGTCCGCCACAATCCTGTGATACACACCACTTAAAGTGGCTGATTTGCAGGGGCCAAGTGGTCTCTGCAGCGGGCACCTGGGGGGGTGGCACATTCTGGCCTGGCCCCCAGCAAAATCTCGCAGCTCCTATTGGCTGGAA